AGGTTGTCTTTGTAAGCCATGTTGCAAATATTATTTGCATGCTGGACAGATAAGAAATAACTGTTCTCTTCCTAATGCTGTGCGGCAGTTTTGTAAATACAGTATAAATACTTCTTAGCGTGTACGCATACACAAAGAGGAAATCAGTGCAGCGCTTGCAGCCACGCGTACGTCTCGTATTCGGAGGGTCATTCGAAAGTGACCATGCCGTTGCTACTAGATTCGTCGCTGACAACTTCGATATAATTTCATCAGTTAGCACGTGGGGGAAAATATACACTTGTGGAAGATCAGATGTTTAAAAAAACACAGATGTACCATGTCAGGTTATTTGCTTTTAGTTTATGTCGGAAAATAGCTGTTAGAACATGAAGTTTGGTTTGGTGAGTCGGTGCTCATATTAGAATGGGTTTAAGTCAACAGAGAAAAGGTAGACCGCACAATAGGGTTACTTCACTTCTTTTTAATTTTTTTTCAATGGTCGAAGACTTATAAGTTAATAAAAACGTGCAAGCCCCATAAAAGCTTTCTCTTTGACCTGCAGGGGACAAATGATATTGCAGTGTCACTATGACAGGGAAGGATTTTATGTCCCCAGGATCAAAGCAGCATTGATTCAATTATGCATCTTTTTATCCTTCCACCGGTAGGATTATGTCGCGGGGTCGTCTGGGGAAAGTGTGAAGCGCGCCCCGTAGGGTCACGCACACCTGATTTTCTGGGAGAGGACGGGCGGGGCATGTCAGGGAATAAATTAGATCCCAATATTTATGTTAAATAAAAAAGTTACGAGGGCAAGTTGGGTCGCGTACTCAAACCTTGGAAGAAGACACTGAAAATGTGCTTTAATATCATCGCTAACACCCCCGCCCGACCAACGGCGAACACGTGCATGTAGGGGAGTGTACCCAAACCTCGGGCGAGGTCACTGAGAGACATTTTCCAGTGGTATCACTAACACCAACTAGCAAATGTTTAACGAAGAACAAAAGTGGGGAGATTATGTAAATCACCCTACTTAAAAT